TGACTGGGGAGTAATTTACCTGCAGAATAGACTGGACTGTGGGGCTGGTTGTCCGGGCAATAGGTCACCAAGCCAAGTGTCATGATCAGATTAGATCCTGCACCTCATGATAACACAGATTAAAAACCGAGAAAAATCATGAATCACACTATTCCAAGGTCATAAATTACGTAACACAAGATTCACATGGTGACACGTGGAAGTTCTTAGTAAACACATTTCAGTAAAAAAGTAAAACTATATTGGGTTTGGTAGATCCAACGATGGAAAACTCTGTGCACATAAAAACCGTGTTTTAACGGAATCGTACAGAAGTAGGTGGCGCAGCCGTGTGACTGCAAGTGGGCTGTGCCCTGGCGTCTGAAAAGGGACGGGGACATGTGAGTGGCACAGAGCAGAACGTGTCCTTCTGAAAACTGTCCCTGGAGATGGAGCGTTCCTCATAGAAAGACCCGTCGCCGCTCCGCAGGGACCATCGGAGCCGAGGACGCGTGACAGCTTCGCGGATCTGTCCTGAGCCGGGGAGCCCGGATCCAACAGGCCAAATATCAGAGTTCACGCGGTCGTTTATGTTTGACAAACGCAAGTCTCACAAATTTAAAGACTGCAGGAATTTTTATGCAAATGTAGTTCTTACAAAGTGAAATTGTATACAAAATCCAGTAACAGGTACAATCTTTGAAATGTCTTTAAATTGGGTTTTATAACAGCTTGAGGGAAAATTACTCCCTTTTAAAATTGAACAAAGGCAGCGGAAAGAAAATAAGCCTTTTGTTTCTGTGCCCAAAACCATGAGTCGGACCCCTCTCTGGGTGTGTCCAAGGCCCCCACAGAGTTAAGTTAACAGGCATTTTAAGTCCCTGCTTGTAAAATGGGGCTTAACTCCTACGACGCGCGGGCCTCACGGCTGGCGTGGGCTGTGACAGCCCATCACACGCCGCGGAGTGGAGTCCACGCTGCTTCCACACAGGCAACGTCCCTTTGTTTCTCTTCTTCAGGGAAGAGAAAAGGGCCAAATTTGCACAAGGCAACAGAGAAAGGTAAACTTGCCGTCGCTGAAGCCCCGTTTTTTCATCAGCACTATAA